GGGCCCCTTCCTTCCGGCCGCGACCCCCGGCCGCCGGCCCCGTCAGACCCGCCGGCGTGCGGCCCTGAGCCCGAGGCTGGCGAGCCCTGTGCGAGGCGGAGGGCGAGGCTGGCAAAGTTGGGAGCTGACAGTGGCCCCCGGGCGCTCCCTGGAGACGGGTCGGGGCCGCGCTGCCCCCTGCTCCACCTTCTGCTTCCCGTCCGGGATCGCGAACTTGGCATCGAGGGCGGAGGAGCCCGTGCCCCCAAATCACGCCCCGTGGCTCATCTCCAGACGGGCCCGTTCAGTTTCTCCGCACACATTATCTTGGCAATTCCAAATGGATAGTTTGCTTCGTACTTTAGGAAAGGAATTTCCCCTCCAAACTCGGGTTTTTGGAGTGTTTCGTTTTCTTTTTTTTCTCCTGAAGGGAAGCGATGTCCCTTTAAATAGAAACTGAATTTAGTGCTGCTGGAGGGGGAGGAGGACAACAGGTTCATGGGCCAGCTAAGTGACTATCCCAGCTTCCCCAATTTGTATACGGTTGTTTTCTGGTTCTTGGAATGTCAATTTTAAATGGTACTTGCCTTGATAAAGAGACAGTTTTAGTAGAGAAGAAATTAATTTACCGAGGATAATTCTCACCATGTGTATGGAAGGCTTGAGTCGTCCTGATGCTTCACAGTTCAGCTCTGCTAGCTGTGGGATTTAGAGAAACATGGGAAGCAGCTGATGACCAGCTTGTCCTAACCGAACTGCGCACCTTGCACATGCTATGTTCACACATGTGGAATGATCCCTTTCCACAGACCAGGGGTTTTCTTCAAGTGTAGAAGCATTAAGTCAGTTAAAAGAAAAAGTTCTTGGATCATCCCTTATGTAATGAGCCATAGATCATAGGAGTCATTCATTCATTCTTTCAATAAATATAAATAATATGTGCCCAGCACAATTCTAGCCAGTCAGGAAGCAGCAGTGAGTAAAACAGACCGAATGCATGCTGAGTCGATCAAGTCTAACCATTTTAACTAAATCGTAAAAGCAAAACCAGTTTTTCGTACCGATTTAATGGGTAGGGAAAAGGTCTTTTCAAGTTACACATACTCTTAAATTGAGTAAAGGAAGGCTTTTTTCGTTGGCTGTTGAAAAAGATTCGAGCAACTTCACATTAGGAATACAAATAGTAATTGGAATAGAATTAGAAAAAAAATGTATATTAAACTGGGTTGGTAGACTTAGGACAACTTTGGCATTTGAATGGCTGCTATTTACAGTAACATAAGATGATTTACCTTCATTTATAGCAAAATTGAGAGCACCATATTGTTTACATGTTTTCTGCTGTATTTCGACTTGTTTGTATTTAAATATATCCACTTTACTACCTGCAGCATAGTAAACAATCAGTGTGAATTAATATGAAGTGAATTCATTGTTGAATGAAGATCCATTTTACTGCCAGCTCTTGGAAGTTGAATTCTCTTACCCAGAAGATTAATAATAAATACCCTGTGTAAGTTATTTGGAGTTTCAATTGTAAAATTTAAAAAAAAAAAAAAAAAGATGCTTCAGTTCTCAGATCTGTTGGCTGTCTCTCCGAATTGTTAAAGTTAGATGCTAATAAAAGAACCTAAACGTATTTCTACCTGTCTTTGCTGGTTGGACCATCGTAGTTCAATGAGTATTTCAAGTCAGTTTATCTGTTTCTTAGTTTATACTATGGAGTAAAGAACAAGATCATATATTTTTTCCAATTCTGTTACTAAAGAGAGATTTGGAAAATTTCCATTTATTAGGCAAACAGTGAATGAGCTAGTTATAAATTAGGACATTTGAGGATTTATGAATATCAAATGTCTGTTGATCATCATATTTAGTCTCTGCTAAATTGTTTTTCACACCATCTATTGCCGATTTTGTTTCTCAGCATCTAGCCAATTTTAGTCTCATTAGAGAGAGAGCTTTTTTATTTTTCCCTGAATTGTGTTGTCGATTTTGGTAACCGCTCTCTCACTTCACAGTCTTACCTTTCATAGGCTTATTATTTTCATGGTCATAGTCTGTACAACTTTCTGAGCCTTCACATTGGCAGGAAGGAAGCAGCGGTGATGGAGAGAGCATGAGCACTGGACTGCAGGCTTCCGGAGACCCAGGTTCAGACTCAGAATCCCAGCTGTGCGTCTTTGGATAGGCAGGGCATCCTTTGCTTTTAGTCCCAGTTCTCCCATCTGTTAACTGAGTTTTGAGGACTACAAAAAAAAAAAAAAAAAATGTCCAGTTTGTGAGACTATAAATTCTAGTGTGCTATGCAAATACTATTTACTGTGTTGCTATTACATTTAATGTGTGTGGTTTATTCTTTTAAGAAGGCATGAAAGACTGTTAAGATTGGGCACAAATAGGCTGGGGATTTAGCTCAGTGACACAGTGCCTGCCTGGCAAGTACGAGGTCATGAGTTCGATTCCTGATACAAAAAAACAAAACAAAACAAAGAAGATTTGGTGCAAATAAAAATAAAAGTTGAGTAGTCAAAATGAGCCAGTTGCTTCTTGATCTTGCTTGAAAAATCCTTTTGTTGAGATGCTTTTAATCATAGGCTGCTTGTCAAAGATCATTTATTGCCACAACCATGGCTGTGTTGAAATTCTGTTTCAGGGTCAAGATACAAGGAAAATTAATTGTAATATATATCTATCTATCTGTATATATCTATATAGATAGATATATATACATGCCCATCATTTGAAAAAATTCAAACTTGGTATAGCAATATTATTTCTAATTCAAGTTAATAAGAATAAGAGGAAGGAAACAGGAATGGTGAGTTTTTCTTCTTTTGTTGTTGTTGTTTTTGTTTTTCTTCTGGTACCAGGAATCAAACTCAAGACCTTGCGCTTGCCAGGCAGGCGCTGTGCCGCTGAGCTAAATCCCCAGCCCTTTTTTTGTATTTTTGAAATAAGGTCTCACTATGCAATTCAGGCTGGCCTTGAGCTCATTTTGTAGCCCAGGCTGGCCTCAAACTCACAAGATTCTCCTGCCTCAGCCTCCCTAGTGCTGGGATTACAGGCGTGTGCCACCACACCTGGCTGAATTTTTCTTTTTAACTGAGATCTAAAATTCAATAAAAATCTGAGCCAACACAGAGCCTGACACAGAATAGACGATCAGTGTTTAATAAATATTGAGTGAACATATTGATAAATAAATGGCTATAAGCTAATTCCATTCATTAAATACATTATTGAGGGAGTTGTGGAGGCTACAGGATAAGACAGGGTTTCTTGTCTTCAAGGAGTTTTACAGTGTAAAAGGCCATAATAGCCAGGGATATATAGCCCAGTGGTATAAGCGCTTGCCTGGCAAATCGGAAGCCATGAGGTCTATTCCTGGTACCAAAAAAAAAAAAAAAAAAGAAGAGGTAGAAGGCTATAATACTATCCTTTTAAAGTTGTACAGTGGCTTAGAGATTCCAAAGAACTTTTAATTCTATTCAAATAAAAATATTTTTGTTGGAACAACTTTTAGCTTACTGTTTTAACGATTTACCTGATGCATTAATAGCTACATTTTGCCCTGTTACTTTATGAAGTAGACAGTTGCCACCAAATGAAGGAATGTGTTCTAACTCAACTAAGGTAGACATGAAAATACTTTCAAAATCATGAAAATAGGTTATTAATAATGAAAACTCTCTCTAACTGTACTACTTCTGAATCTTCTTGAGCGTTCACACACATGCACCAGCTGCTCACCCCGGTAACTTCTCATTATAAGAGGTCATTCTTTTTTTTTTTTTTTTTTTTTTGGTTTTTTGGTTTTTCTCCAGTACCAGGAACTGAACTCACAACCTTGCGCTTGCCAGGCAGGCGCTTTGCTGCTGAGCTAAATTCCCAGCCCCTACAAGAGGTCATTCTTACGCCAGACGTGGTGGCACACACCTGTAATCCCAGCACTTGGGAGGCTGAGGCAGGAGGATGGTTGTGAGTTCGAGGCCAACCTGGCTACAAAGTGAGCTCAAGGCCAGCCTGAACTGCATAGAGAGACCCTGTCTCAAAAAGACCAAAAAAAGAAAAAAAAAAAAAAAGAAAGTCATTCTCCAGGTGAGGTGGGGCAGGCTGGCTGCTGTGTAGGGTTTGAAAGCCTTAAAAGGGATTCTGTGTAGTTCTCCCCACCACTTGCGCTGCTATACTCCCTTTCTCCTGAGAATTACTTACTTTATAATAGGAAGGATGAGGTACACATGTGGTGAGTGGAAGATAGAGGCAGAAACATCTATACTAAAAGTATATATTCCAGATCTGTAAAACTAAAATTGTTACTTGTATAGAAGTAAGTATAATAAAACTTTAAAACTTCATTGTGAATGTATGACTACTTTCTGTGTTCCTGTGATAGATTCTCCTTGTAGTGTGGCCTGAAACCTTTGAGATAGTATAGTGCTGTACCTGTCAGTCATATTTTTACAGCTTAATGTCTTAAAACTAGGGGTAAGAACTCAGGACCGCCCTAGTGTATGTGATACCTTTCCCCATTTTTAAGAGTTCTCTGGTCCTTCGGACTCCTTGGAAGTGACTTTTAAAATTATTGAATTGGGCATCATCTTTAGCTTCCCAGTTTCCTTTTTCAGACCTAAATAATCTGGTCTCCAGAAATTTTACTTGACTGCTTTTCTTGCTTTCTTAATGATGTTGTCTAAGTTGGTTTTAGATTTCTTGGGGCTATGCTTATTAGGATCCCTGGAGGCTGGCTACTTTGCTTGTATTTGTTCTGCAACTGAAACCTCAGATACCAGTGTGAGGTATCATAGCCTAAAACCATTTTGGTAATCTTGGTAGGCTCTAACTTCAACAGTGCTGGACCTCATATAAAAGATAGAGGTTCTGTGTTGTTTCAGGGGAGTGTTAGGGAAGGGGATGAATGTAATGAAGAAATTAAAATGTTTAGCTAAATAAACCCATATGTTTTGTGGTTTCCACAAAATACATTTAAACAGTGTGTCATACTGGAATGTTGGCACTTAATTTTTGCCAGTAGTATAGTCCCTTTAAAAAATATTTTCATCCAACTTTCACTATGATTCTTCTTGTCTGAGCAATCTTGGCAAGTTAGTTTTATTAGGTGTTTTGAAAATCCCTTTAAGTTGCTGCTGCTGGGTTGTGGAGAGAGGAAAGAAAGGGGTGTTCCATTTCAGATTACTTGCTTAAAAGCTTCCTGTTTTATTAGTAATACTCGTTTTGTGTTCACATTGATTCCTCATGGTGTTTCTTGAACCTTGGTAGACTTACAGATTTTTTAATGGTAGGCTTATGTACTCTTTTCACTTTCTTACTAGTTATATGCCTGTATATCATGGACCAATCCATGTTTTGTAAGCACCTGTATTTCTTTTTTTTTTGTCTTTTTGAGACAGGGTCTTGCTATGCAGTTCAGGCTGGCCTTGAGCTGCCTTTGTAGCCCAGGCTGGTCTCAAAGTAAGGCTCCTCCTGCCTCAGCCTTCCCAGTGCTGGAATTACAAGTGTGTGCCACCACACCTGGCAAGCACCTGTATTTCTGCCAGCTTTTTCTTTCACCATTTTTCCCAGCTCTCCCCACTGATGTTGGATGCAGTCTTTGTTTGTTTTTGGTTCTGGGAATCGAACTCATGACCTCAGGCTTGCCAGGCAAGCACTTACTCCAGCCCTCTTCACTAATGTTAATTAACCCTTTTGGGGTTTATGTATGTTTTGTTTGGTCATTTTCTAGACTACTACTATCTTTGGTGTCTGAAGGGTTAGATAGAAATTTCACAAGTTAAGTGAAATACTGTAATTGAGTTACTCTTCATAAAATTAGTGTGTTCTTCAGATACATTGATTACCTTATTCTCTAGGCATATTAGATTTGGATGTAATTATTTTACTTGGACCTTTTCAAGAAGTTGGACCGGAAGAAAAAGTTGACTGCCCCAAAAGCTGCATAAGTGAAATGGTACATACCAACAGTGGAAACATCTTTTGCTAGACTTTTCTTCCTTGTGGATTTCTTTCAGGTACTTAAGGAGTACCATTTCCTTGTGCTTTCTCAACTTTGGCACCTGTGTCCTGGCAAGAGAAACTTAAACAAAATTTAATCAATTGTTAGAGAATATTTCTAAGGTTTTCTGTCTTTAATCTGACTTTTTACTGATAACAAATCTCAACTCATCAGGCTTCCAAAGTACATATCACCCTTAGCCTTTAAAGCCCTTTCATAGTAATGGCTTTCATTCCTCTATAGTTTTCTCCCCTACCAGTTAGAACGATGTGCTTACTTTGAGTCATGGGATTGTGACATCAGAAGTAATTTATCCTTCACTATCCCCTCTGCTGCGTTTTCTTTTTTAGAGGCTTTGCATTTAGTGGATTAAAATGGTACTAGTCCCTTTCGATATATCCATCTGTAGCATGTCACATTTGTGCTGTTTGTTACCCATTTCCTGCACAGCACACAGATGTGGCTGGAAATTATGTTGGTCAGTTTTCATATTATTGCTT